ATTATTTTCAAGGAGTCAATTTAAACCCCAAAAGTGGATTTAAAAGTACAGAACGACTCCTTTTTTTGGAGTAATATATTTACTCTTGTATTTTTACTTCCCAAAGGGAGTATTATTAACTCCATAAAAAGGGGTGGGAATCACCCGGATACAAAGATAAGATATTATTCTAGAAAAGGAGTCGTTTGGAACCTTTTTTTTTTTTATTAACACCCACTTTTTGAAGTTAAATTGACTCCTTGAAATTAACAGTGTACCAGGGTGCAAGTGGTGTACCTGCTCATGTCAGTGGTGGCACCTGGATTTGTTCGACTGAGTTCTGACGTTCCCGACTAGGAGTAGCCCAGCTCTCCGGCGAAAGCATAAATGGGTGGGGTTATGGGCTTAGCCCCTCAACAAGGGCTTATGTGCAAATCCCCGAAAACTCCAGCAATTTAGGAAATTTGAAAAGCTTATATTTAACCAGCTGATTATTTTCTATCGTCTCTGCCACAGTGCGAAATAACTGTTGTTTTTTCATCAACAATACTCAGGGGTTTATTTATGAATTTGAGTAGCAGGAGAAATTTGAAAGTAACAGGAGAGTAAATTGAAATAGGCCGGGGGTATGGGGGGCGCCTAGGCCCCCATCGGGGTCCAGGGGCAAAGCCCTGGTCGGGGGTCAAGGGGGCGAAGCGCCATTGCGCTCCAGGGTATTAGAGTTTTTTAAGCCCATTTGATGGCATTTCTCTACATCATTTTTTTTAAACAGTTTTCAGAATCAACTATTCATGAGCTGTAAAAAAAGTTGATATTTTTACATATACTGTATCTTCATACATAGGCCTAGCCTAAATAGATATTGTAAACCAGAAACTTTCGCGAATTGATAATTTCGGCCGTTTTCGCGACATTAAACTTTCGCGAATCTCAAAAAGCCTAAATTTAATTCATGAGAGGAATATCATACAATAGCTGAAAATATCGTATCGTGAGTTTAGGCCTAGGTTAGATAGGCCTACAGCCACTGTGTAGGCTGCCTTGGCATGGCTTAGGCACCATATAAGCCTGCAGCCTACCTCAGTTGCTAGGACCCGGACTTAGCTGGCTATCCCAGGCACAGATAAGAAAGAGACAAGTTTACACACATACACTACTCACTCATATGATATTCCCTAATTTTGTATGGTATTCAAGCATCCTACAAAATGAACAATGTTTATCAATGTTTTATTAACAAATTATTTTCCTGTAGGCCTAATATCGATTCAAACACATTGATTGATGATGATTGAACATCGTGGTATGTCATATGGTACGGCAAATTAGTTTCCCATTTGAACTTCTTAGTATACACTGTACAGTGGTTGCACATGTGCAATCACATGCAGTGATGATCACAACCTCATTAATTAGTATACTTACTGAGTAGGTTAGAATAGGCCTAGAATTTACGAATTTGGAATTAAAGGTCAGAATATTGATTCAATAATTGAAATACATTCTTTTTTAAGTTTATAAACATTTAATAAAATCCACCAAAATAAATTGAAAATACAATTTTTATAATGATGAAGTTGTTTACTTTTCACAAATATGTTGAAATTTGTGGGGATTCACCATTTAGGCCTATGCACCCTAGATCTGCGTTGAAGAAAACATCTAAGGAGAGCAAAAAATAGTTCTAAAATTTACGCAGATATCGAAAAGGAATGGATACCACATGGAAAAAATGTCTCATGTGATGTCGTGAATTAAGACGATTTGGGCTTGCTTTGCCGTTTAATCATTGTAGGCCTACTATCTATAACTCTGAAATTGTGAGTGTAAACAGCATTCAATATAGTTGGTTCGCCTTGCTACCTCCGCCACCGAGTGTAAACGAATTTGAGCCAGTGTTGGTTTTTTTTAAATTATTTATCATTTCCGAAATATCTATGTCATCACAAAGAGGGCTAGTAAAATAAAAATGAAA